CCAGCTAACTTGCCCTGTCTCTTTTCTAACCTTAAAAAAAAAAACAAAAAAAACAGTCTTAGAATCAGAAGCTTTATGTAGCAAAAAATACCAGAATGAAGGTTTGGTAACTTTCATCTTAGATTGCAGTCAAAAGGCAATTAGAGGGACTTCCCTGGTGGCAAAGTGGTTAAGAATCCACCTGCCAATGCAGGAGACAAGCACTTGAGCCCCAGTCTGGGAAGATCCCACATGCCTCGGAGCACCTAAGCCCGTGTACTGCAACTACCGAGCCTGCGCTCTAGAGCCCGCGAGCCACAGCTTCTGAAGCCCATGCGCCTAGAGCCAGTGCTCCGCAACAAGAGAAGCTACCGCAACGAGAAGCTCACGCACTGCAACGAAGAGTAGCCCCTGCTCTCCGCAGCTAGAAAAAGACCGCGCACAGCAACGGAGACAGAAAGCAGCCAAAAATAAATTAATTAATTATTTTTTTAAAAGGCAATCATATGAATAATTTCCCATCCTGGAAATGTTAAAACCTCTCATTTGGGTCTTTTTTTTTTTTTTTTTTTTAATATTTCTGGAGTTTTACTTCCCGTTACTGCTGGTCATCTCAAGAGACCCTTCAACCTACTCAAGTAGATTGTAGTATTGACCTTCCTACTCAATGCAGGGAAGGAGACAGAACCAGACTCCAACATACTAGTAGTTTCAGTCTCCCAATCCAGGGTCTTAAACAGTTTTAAAACTTATCACAGTGAACATTGGTTCTTTAAGTGGTGTATGTGTAAAGAGGTAATAGAAAAGGCTGACTGTATATCATAAAGTGAATATATTAACTCAAAAGCAAAATAAATAATCTGTATAAGATAATAGAGAAAGAACTCATTTAAATGGCAGTCAGGTTGTATAGTCTTAATTCTGATTTTTAATAAAGTGCCGTAAATACAGCAGGTAATTGCAGATTTTTCTCTGCAGATACCTTGTTTTCCCTCGACACATGTTTTTCATGTTTTAACGTTTCTGAAATTTGCATTTAGCTTACAATACATGTGTACATTTAACGTGGCAGTGTTCCTACAGCCTCCTTACCCCGCCCAAAAAACTTTAAAATTGTTTTACAATTAATTTGTTTTTGAATCTTGGCAGTGTGACAGTAATAATGTTTCTGGATGAATTTCAAGAGCAAAGTTTGTTTTAAAAGTGCTTCTAAAATGCTTTAAGGAAAAAAACTGCTTTAGGGGCTTCCCTGGTGGCACAGTGGTTGGGAGTCTGCCTGCTGATGCGGGGGACACGGGTTCGTGCCCCGGTCCGGAAGGGTCCCACATGCCGCGGAGTGGCTGGGCCCGTGAGCCATGGCCGCTGAGCCTGCGTGTCCGGAGCTTGTGCTCCACAACGGGAGAGGCCACAGCAGTGAGAGGCCCGTGTACCGCAAAAAAAAAAAACAAAAAAAACCTTTAGAGCAGTATTTTCCAAAGTAGTTTCTTCATAATACCATGTATACCGTATATGTTATACCATAGTGCCAGTTCCAGTGTTCCTAAAAAGGGGAGCGGGGATTCTCAATGGTCAAATAAGTTTGGAAAACACATCTAACCTTTAAAGCCTCATTATGGACAAAAAGCCCATTAAGCTCTGAAAAAGCCTGTGGTTTAAAAAAATAAAAACTCTTTAAATGTCTTTTAACCAAGTATTTTCCAAACCTTCTGACCCCAAAATCATTCTTTGTTAATACCTGCTAGCACTCCATTTTAGGAAATGCTGCTAGGTAGCGTCATTAATAAAAGTATTAGAACGAAACATTTTTGTCAGGTTGCTTTAAATACTTGCCTTTTGCAAATTGAAAAGATTACTAACATTTCTATGCATCTGTTTATGTAGTTGTCACAAGAACCTTTCCAAAGGCAGGTTTGACTAGACTAGATTGTCAGCTTAGTCAGACATGATCTTTAACTGCTTTCAATAGTACAGCAACCTCGAACTGCCCAGGTAGTATTAGCCCTTGGTTCATCTCACAAATCTGTACATTGGTCCAGTTGCTGGGCTTCAGCATGATATATGTGAGCAGAAGAAATCCTTACGTAACATGTCATAGGCTGCCAGCTCTGGCACTACAGTTTTATTCTGTAATTCACTGTACCTTTTTTAAAAAAACAATTTTATTATCAGTTTAAATATATTGGTAAATTATCAGTATTGCTGGGTCTTCTTGTTTTGTAATCCTCTATTTATTGTAGCCTGTTTATAGTAAATCTCTGGGGGAGCCATCAAGCTGGGATAAATCCATCCCTTCCCTATCTTCTGCCAGGGAAAGGAGGCAGTTAGGTGCTTCTTGCAAGTAGAGATGAACACTACTGTCCTCGTAGTAAGAGATACCTTCTCCCCCGAGTAATGGAAACTGTAAAATATTAACCAGACATGTTCTTTGACATTCTTTGAGCATTTATTAAATACCCTCTTTGTGCCAGATAACTCTGCTAATTACCAGGTTTAAAAAGTGAGAAGCAACAGTCATTGCTACCCCCAAAGAGTTGACTCTAATTGGTCAGACAGTGGTTGTGGAAATGGTAAATATTCACAGTGCAGTGTGTTTAGTGTTATAAGTAGACATAGGTTCTGGGGACACCTAGCTCAGATATTGAAGTTTAGTGAAGGAAGTAAAAAGTCTGACCCTGGAGGATAAATAGCCTTTGGTTATGCAGGCAAGGGGATAAAGGACATCACTGACAGAGAACACAGCTTGTGTAAAAGGCATGGAGTTATGAAAAGTAAGAAATTTGGAGATGCAGGTAGCTTGGTTTTGTATAGCATATCTATGGTAGAAAGATGGGAGGGTGACACCTGAAATGAAGGTCAGTGATTCGTGGCGATAATTGCTGTGTTAGGCAGAGAGTTTCATCACCCTACATTAGCTTTTAATTAGAGTTTGTTAAACTAAGTTAATTAACTCTTTCAACCCTGAAGGACATAATATCTGAAGAATAGAGAAATAAAATCAACTTTTTTAAAAAAATAAATTTATTTATGTATTTATTTATCTTTGGCTGCGTTGGGTCTTCGTTGCTGCACACGAGACTTCTCTAGTTGCGGCGAGCGGGGGCTACTCTTCGTTGTGGTGCTCGGGTTTCTCATTGCCGTGGCTTCTCTTGTGGAGCACGGGCTCTGGGCCCGTGGGCTTCAGTAGTTGTGGCATGTGGGCTCTAGAGCGCAGGCTTAGTAGTTGTGGTGCACGGGCTTAGCTGGTCCGCGGCATGTGGTATCTCCCCGGACCAGAGCTCGAACCCGTGTCCCCTGCATTGGCAGGCAGATTCTTAACCACTGCACCACCAGGGAAGTCCCCCAAACCATCAACTTTTAAACTATGAAAATAATTTTTTTCTGTAAAAGAAAGAGAAGCTCTGTACAAGTACTGCTTTTGAGAGGTTTTGTCTCTTGAAATCTTCAGAAGAAGGAGGAAGTAAGAAGCAATGGTAAGAAGCTGTCTTCAGGACTTCCCTGGTGGCACAGTGGTTAAGAATCCGCCTGCCAATGCAGGGGACACGGGTTCGAACCCTGGTCCGGGGAGATGCCACATACTGCGGAGCAACTAAGCCCGTGCGCCACAACTACTGAGCCTGCGCTCTAGAGCCCGCAAGCCACAGCTACTGAGCCTGTATGTTGCAACTACTGAAGCCCGTGAGCCTAGAGCCCGTGCTCTGCAATAAGAGAAGCCACCACAGTGAGAAGCCCATGCACTGCAACCAAGAGTAGCCCCTGCTCGCTGCAACCAGAGAAAGCCCGTGTGCGGCAATGAAGACCCAATGCAGCCAAAAGTAAATAAATAAATTTTAAAAAAGCCTTTAAAAAAGAAAAAAAGAAGCTATCTACAAAGTGACTGATGTAATGTTATATAAAGATGTTTGGAGGTGGAGGAGGAAACAACCACCGAAAAAACAAAAAAACCATAATTTTATTTTATTTATTCATTTTTTTGCAGTATGCGGGCCTCTCGCTGTTGTGGCCTTTCCCGTTGCGGAGCACAGGCTCCAGACGCGCAGGCTCAGTGGCCATGGCTCACGGGCCCAGCCGCTCTGCGGCATGTGGGATCCTCCCGGACCAGGGCACGAACCAGTGTCCCCTGCATTGGCAGGTGGACTCTCAACCACTGCGCCACCAGGGAAGCCCCACAAAACCATAATTTTAAATACTGAACTGGGAACTTCAGACTTGAGTTCTAGCCAACAGCTCTGATACTTAATAGCAGAGAGTTGTAGAAGCAATTTCACTTGTCTGAGGTCTTGGTTTTCTCGCTCATAAAATGGGGTATTGAATGGCATATTCCAAGCTGTTATTATACAGAACTTTAGAGTTTTGTGAGGTATGGATAGGAGTTATAGGTTGGGGACAGGAGATTTAGGACTAAGGGCTAAATTTTAAACTGGGTACTAGTTGTGCTTAGGGTTTTGTTTTGTTTTGTTTTTGCGGTACGCGGGCCTCTCACTGCTGTGGCCTCTCCCGTTGCGGAGCTCGGGCTCCAGACGCGCAGGCTCAGCGGCCATGGCTCACGGGCCCAGCCGCTCCGCGGCATGTGGGATCTTCCCAGACCGGGACACGAAGCCGTGTCCCCTGCATCGGCAGGCGGACTCTCAACCACTGCGCCACCAGGGAAGCCCCACTAGTTGTGCTTAGGTTTTGATGCTAGCATATAGAGGAGAAAGTGCGTCTCCCCCTCACCCCCACCCCGACCCTCAATTGTATTTCCATATACTCCAGTGACCTTTGGTTCATTGTTGCTGTAGCATTGGACGTTAGGACACTTTTCAAAGCAATTTTATCTGTGATTCTGCCTTGCAGTTGTGATTCTTTATGGATAGGAATGAGTTTCTCCAGGGGAATGAATATTGTCGTTAAACCACCAAAATTATTTTCTTTCCTGGAAGTTATTATATTTAAGAATAAAATATATGTTTAGACATGAGAGGTATGAAGGTTTATATTTTTATACAATTATTTTATCCATCTTATTTGTTTGTTTTAACCAGTTACCCATGGGTGTATTGTTTCCACAATAAAACTTTTTCTACCAGATGGTATGGAAGCCCGGCTCCGCTCAGAGTGAGTATAATATAGAGCTATGAACTTTTTGTATTAATTACATTGGTTAATAATATTCTAGATGATAGTATACTGTTTATACTTCAGGATTATTCTAATAATGTTAGAACATTGATGTAGTACTTTTGGAATATAATATACTACAGTATAATTGCTTTTCACATTAGTTACAATTCTAGTAAATAATAATGTGTAAGGAGGCACAGTTATTTTGTTTCCAAAATTAACTTTATAACTTATATTTGCTGGAAAATTAGTTTTTTAGAATATTTGGAGTATGTAAGTTATTGATGAGTGATAATTGTATCCATTTTGATCTGCATTTCATATACGACTTCTTAAACTATGGTTGCCTCTGAAGTTAATGCCAGTGTCATAATCTTAAAGGACTTTAAGGATGTTGACACAGTTAGTAGTCTATATTGGTGGGAGTTTTTGGAGGGATTTTCCAATTCTGTAGTTTTTTCTTTTTTTAAATGAAGCAGTGGAAAGGTCACTTAGAGGAGGACAAACTTGAGAGGGAAAAATTGCTCATAAAATGCAAACGTTAAAATGTAAGCATAAATACATTTCGATCTTGTACTTTTCACAGATTATTATTATGAAGTGTTAGAGGGAGCTAAACAGTCTTAAACTTAAGCATTTTTTATTTTGAATAAATAAATATGAATATTGGATATGGTAGAGGCTTGTTTCTACACCCAGTATAATATTTTCTGTCCTACAAAAGCAGAAACAAATATCTGAGGGTGGGAGGTTGAGAGCAGCAGTAAGTTGAAGGTGAAGCAGTATAGTGAGTAGGAAAGAGAGGGAGAAAGGAAGCAGGGAGAGATCCTCTCATTACTATGATAGTGCGTTCATTAGAATTATTGTATATTATGCTTCAGTTGGAGGCTCCCAATTTGTTTTTTTTTTAAAACCTTTCAGGATATCTGAATAAAACAGAAAATTTAAAACATTTTAAATTTAAAACATTAATCTGTTCCCTCTTCTAAATTATAGTTTAATTATTAAAAATATAGTTAACTTTGGGAACATTAATGTGACTTCGCTTTTAATATGAGTTAGTCAAGAGTTAAGGTTTTAAAAATAAGAGTAACTATTAATCAACTAATAACAAAGACCTGGATGTTTGTATTTGATAATGAGATTTTTCTTTCATGGATTCAGAAGCTTTGAGCAGCTGCATAAAGGATCATGTCTGTTCTCAGCTTCCATCCGATAGGGCATATGAATTTTTTCAAAGTCTACATCAGTGAATTGTGTTCCTATCCCTCTTGTTCCCCCAGTGCTTTTCATCTTTGTCCCTTTTTCCTTCTCTTTGTTTGGTTTTTCTTATGTGGTTAAATGTTAGCATCATTTAAAACTTTGCTGCCAGTTTCATTGTGTGTAATCTGGTTGACTTTCTGGAGAGGATGAATTTTGAACAGGCAGTCCTCGAGCTGGAGGAAGATCAGAACGGTCTTTAGAGGTAGATAGTCTGGTTCAAAGCCCAACTCCACCTGTTCTGTGACTTGATCAGGCCTCCCTTTTCTCATTTGAAAAATCAAGTTAATAATAGTACCTATTGAGCAGGAATTTTATGAGGAGGATTAAGCAAGACTGTACACTTAAAGAGTTTAGTGTAGTACCTGGTGCATAATGAGCACACGATGAATACTGTTTCTCTTATTGTAAACTAATATTTTCTAGCAATCAAGATGCTTTTAAGTATGCCAGAATGCTTAGAATTCAAGGTACATTGTATACATACCATTTAATATTTTTAAGGTCTTCAGTAGGTATACCGTTCTCAAAAAGCTGATTCTTTTTTCTTCCTTGATTTTTATTTTTATTGCACAAATAATTTTCAAATAATAAGAAACAGAGAAAAATTACCTATAATTCCACCACACTAACACTAAATAAGTTTTCCTTATACAGTTCCTTGTTGCATATGAACTTTGTTCCATAATTCAAACAGAATACACCTGTATCCACAATAGTTTCTGTAAAGTACAAATATATATCAATTATGGAATGTTTTGCTAGATTTTTAGCCTTTTGTTTATCAACCAGATTTTCATGAGAATGGGAAATTTTGTACTTGGGTCACTAGGAAAACTGGTTTAAAAAAAATAAAAACAAAACCTCCTGGGACTTCCCTGGTGGCCCAGTGGTTAAGATTCCATGCTCCCAGTGCAGGGGGCCCAGGTTCAATCCCTGGTCAGGGAACTAAGATCCCATATATTGCAGCTAAGCCCACGTGCTGCAACTAGAGAAACTCGTGTGCCGCAACAAAGAGCCCAGGCACTGTGATGAAGACCCAGCACAGCCAAAATAAAAAACAAAAAACCTCCATTAATACCATTTGCTTCTATTTAGACTTTCTGAAGTTCATTTCCCTGTATGTGCATATCTACAGAGAAAAGGTATATACCCAAAATGGCTATATCTGGGTCCTGGCATTGGGTAGTTTTTATTTATTTCCTTATGCTTTACTTCACACATTTTCCCTAGTCAGTATGTATTACTTGTATAAAATCAAGAAAAAGAAACTTATGTTTAAAACGTCTATTCCATTTTTATGAGGCAGAGGAAAAAAAACTAAAGCTGTATGTAATTTTTTAAACCTTCATTAGGCACCAGATTTGTTAGGGCCTTGTATAGGTTCTGGGGATGCAGAGGTGAATTGTTCAGAGTGCTGAGAACACAGATGTGAAATCAAAGGAGTAGAGCAGGGGATTATATGGTCTCAGTGGGAGTCTGTACAGGATATCATGGGAGCTCAGAAGGGAAGTGGGGGCTAATACTTAATATTCCATTTTATTCAGCATCTTAGTGTATTTGTGACTAATTAAATTGAAATATTCTTAGGATGTTTGCAGTTACTACAATGGAATCAGAATTGTCATCCCTATTTTTAAGTCCTGCAAGATCAGTTTGTCAGCAACTTACACGTGATTAACCTGTTGAATCTAGGAACTTTACCTAATCAACCATCAAGCAGACCATTACCAGACTGGCCTCTAGGATATGGAGTGAGGAGCAACTGGTAGGGGCCATGGGTGGCAGTCTTGCTCTGTGCTCCGTCTACTCACCCTCCCAACCCACATTGCAGTATCTTACAGTGCTTGTAAGACAGGAACCCTGGCTTCCTTACCGGCTCTGTTCTCATGGGAACGGTAGTAGTGATCAAGTGCTACTATGTCTAGGTACTTTTTTAAGCTCTTTACTTATACTCACATATTTAATACAGTAACCCTATGTGGTTAGTTTTATGATTATCCTCATTTTATGGATGAGGAAACTGAGACCTATAGTGGTTAGATAACTTGCCCAAGATTATATACCTGGTAAGTAGAGCCAAAATTTGGACCCAGTCAGTATAGCTTCTGAGCCTGCATGCTTAACTGCTACACTGTACTGCCTCTTATGTACTTTATAAGGCCCCAAAGGCAATTAATACCAATTAATACTGTGTTACTGTTTAGTTTTAAAGTGATATACTGAGTTAGATTCATAACTACACGTAAGCTTTCAGTGTGTGAGGTGGCTGGGTAGAGAAGAGTAGTACTAATGTTTTGGTTAGCTGAAGTTTTTCTCCACTAGAATGTATTTTCAAATTATAGCCTTCTTTACAATAGAACTGTGCTTTTTAAGGCTTTCCGTATAGAAGCATTTAATTTTAAGAGAACTTAATTTACACATTCTAAAATTTTAAATGGATAATTTAAGGAGTGCTTCTTTTCTGTTTAGAAGTTCTTATAACCAAGGAATTCACCATAGCCCTCATTAATAGTAGATCCGGCAAGGGCATTTAATACATCTTGGATTTTGAATTTGTGTTTAGAAATACATGAATGTGTAAAAGGTTTGTATGTTTATTACCTTGTTTTCTAACAATTCTATATGTTTATGAAGGATTAAAAAATAATTCACATTCTTTTAATTATATGAAAACAAGTGTGTCAACTTTGGGGTTTAAGATATTCTTGTACTGTCATACTCTATTTCCTCTATTGTCAGGAAATTAGATAAAAATTCTAAATTTTACTTTTCAGTGTCATCCATGCTCCATTACCAAGTCCTGTTGACAAAGTAAGTTGCTAATGATTATTTTTTCCAAACTGATTCAGCTGTATTGCTTTTGAAAATGTTTCTGTTTGTTCGTTTTTAATATGCTTTACCTAGAAACTTATTTCCCTTTTGTAACAAAAATACAAGAATACATATAGCTGTATAGTTATTCTAGTCTGATCTTCAGAAACTGGAGAATTTAGGATGGATGTTTCTTAGGACAAAACCTTTGTTATCTCAAGTCAGTGGCTGACTCTAGACTAGAAGCATTTGTTCTGTGCCTAGCCAAAGGTAAGAAGTGTTAGTTACTACTTTTTATTCTATAATACATTTCTGTCTAGAAATATTTATTAAAGCTTTGCACCCAGATAATTTACTCAAAATATACCTACACATGGAATAACAGAAATATGGGCTTACAGAAATTTCTCTTTAATTGTTCTTGAAGATCAGTTTTAACTTGATTTGGACAGAAACTTTGCAGTAATTACTTGTTAGAAAATATTTTTCTTTTGTTCAGAAATAATGGTGTATTAAACTGTAGATATCATTGCTAAGTAGCAAAAAAAAAAAAAAAAAGATCTCTTGTATCTTTTGGCATTAAAGTGTATGTTGAGTTTTCTTAGTAAAGTAACTAAACTATTGGGAAAAACATTTTACTTTTTTTTCCTTCCATTTGGATAAAGAATGAAAGCCTACCTGAAACTGAAGTTCTCTGTTAGATTCCTTTTTTAGAAGTAAAAGTGGTTAAACATCAACTTCAGCAATACCAAGAGTCATTTCAGAAGTAAATAATGGCCTTGCTGATTTAGGACTAACTTTTAAAAAAATAATGCCACCTCTCTGTCTTCTACTTAGCATATTAGTAAAAATAGACTTTCTGAGCTTAATAAGGAATGATGCTGTTAACATCACTGATAAGTTAACATATAAGGCTTGGGTAGTGTTGAGAATATGGATAAATGAATGATACAGCAACCTGTTAGTGCCTTTTTTTAAAAAAAATAATTCTGTGGCTCTATATTCCACACCCAGTAGAAACCCTTTATAGAAGTTATTTCTTCCAATACTCTTGAGTTCTAAGCATTTTGGCTGTGACTTTAATGTTTAAACACTATTATTTCCCTTTTTTTTCTTCTTAAAACCTACTTACAGTTTAAAGGAAAAAAAAAAAGACCTTTTTTCATTGCCTCTGGCCATTGGACAAAGTATTGTATTTCATGTCCTGCTTCTCCCCATGTGCCCACATACAAATATCATTTTGAAGATGGCTACTTCTAAACGAATTGTGACTTGTTGACATATTGAAGAACTATTTGACAATGAATTTTAAAGGGGAAAAATGTAGATATGTTGATTTAGCAGGTATTATGTCTGGGTAAAGAAAAGGCTGTATTGCCTTTGTGCTGTAAGTTTGTGATTTGGTTTATCAAGGAATGTTTTCATGGGTAGCACTTGTTGCACCATCCTGCTTGTAAATCCCAAACTGATCAGCATAATACAATACCATTTATAAATTCTAGACATGGAGCAGAAATATTTTGAAAACTAAAGAAAATTGTTCGTTTGAAAAATAATTTTTATTTGCATATTTCAGTAAATAGGCTTTGCAAGGACTTGATTTGGCTTTAATGTCTTCTGCAAATATTTTGTGTGACTGTCAATGGTGTATCATTTTGTTTCTAGGTTGCTGCTAACACTCCAAGTATGTACTCTCAGGAACTATTCCAGCTTTCTCAGTATCTTCAGGTAAAATAAATCTTGAGAATTCTTAGTCTTTAAAAGCAGAACTTAGATTTGATTTTGCTAGTTCACAAATATAGGCTAAAGAAATACTGGCTGGGGCTTCCCTGGTGGCGCAGTGGTTGAGAGTCCGCCTGCCGATGCAGGAGACGCGGGTTTGTGCCCTGGTCCGGGAAGATCCCACGTGCCGCGGAGCGGCTGGGCCCGTGAGCCGTGACCACTGAGCCTGCGCGTCCGGAGCCTATGCTCCGCAACGGGAGAGGCCACAACAGTGAGAGGCCCACGTACCGAAAAAAAAAAAAAAGAGAAGAAATACTGGCTGGACACAAGTACAAAAGAAATATCTTTTTAAAGTACAAAAAAAAATTAAAAATAGGTCTTATAAAAAAAAAGGATTTAAAAAATCTGATTGTTAAGTCTAGAGAAGATAAGGTTCTGTACAAGAGAAGTTTTTTTCTTCACTTATGAGGAAGTTCCACAGTTGTTCTTTATCCAAAGGTGACTTTTAAATAAAATTAAATCCGGAGAGATTTTGGTTGTTATTAATAGCTATAATAGCAAATAATATGAACTGTTAAAATATTAACTATTAATAGCAAATAATTATGTAACACATACTATATGCCAGACTCTAGCAGACTTTAACACTTTACCTATATTAATTCATTTAATCCTCACAAAATTCCTGTAAGGTACATATTTTATTCCCATTTTTATAGATGGAGTAACTGAGGGACACGGAAGTTTAAATAGTTCGCACAATATCACACACCAAGTTCTGTGGTTGAGCTGGGATTTGAACCCAGACAAGTCAGACCTCAGAGTCTCTCTCTTAACTACTGTTCTGTGCTGCTCAATCTGTAGAAAGATCTCTTGGTAGGGCAGATACTTAGAATGGGCTCCTGAAGAAGTTAATGCCATATTTAAAGAGCCATACAGATCTCTAAAAAGAAAACAAGTGGTTGTTCGTTCTTTTTTGTTTTTTCTGAGTTTGGTAGATTTAGACCGGATTATGGTTCTTATTATTCTAGTGAGGGAGCATGATTAAGGAAAACTCTGAATCAGGAGTTCAGAGATTGAGGTTTTTATCTTGGCTCCTACTCAATGAGTTCTGTGACCTTGGGTGAGTCAGTTTACATATGTAGGTCTTCAGTTGCCTTTTGTTTAAAATGATAGGACCAAACCAGTGATCCTGTGTCCCTACATACTTTTATAGGTCAATCACTAAGAGCAGTTCTACCTCAGTTAAGAATGTACACATCTGTGAAAATTATCAACGCATTAATCAGATCTTACCTTCCACTGGGCATAATGTAATGGTGGATTGAAAAGTGGTTTTACACACTTGCAGTTTAGTAGAGTATTTACGAACGTAGGTAGACTCTAGCCAGAATTCCCTGGATTTGATCTTTGGCTTTAACTTCTGACCTGTTGGGAAAGTTGTTTATGCCTCATTTTCCTCATCTATGATATGTGTATAATAATAGCACTTACCTCACAGAATTGTAAAGAATAAATGAATTAATGCAGGGAATTCCCTGGCAATCCAGTGGTTAGCACTTGGTGATTTCACTGCCGAGGGCCCGGGTTTGATCCCTGCTTGGGGAACTGAGATCCCAGAAGCT